GATGCTGGGGACAAGGGGGACATTGGGGGTGAGGAGCTGGGGGACACCAGGGACAAGAGAGGACACTGGGGACAGGGGAACACTGGGGGACATTGGGGACATCAGGGACAGGTGGGATGGGGGACATTGAGGACAGGTGACACCAGTGGGACAGGTGGGACAGGGGCACATGGGGACAGGTGGGATTGAGGACACTGAGGACACTGAGGACAGGTGACACCAGTGGGACAGGTGGGATTGAGGACACTGAGGACAGGTGGGATGGAGGCCATTGTGGACAGGTGACACAAGTGACACCTGTGGGACAGGTGGGACAAAGGGGACATTGGGGACAGGTGGGATTGAGGACATTGAGGACAGGTGGCACTGGTGTCACCAGTGGAACAGGGGGGACACTGGGGACAGGTGGGATGAGTGGAACAGGAGAGATGGGCACAGGTGGCACCAGTGGGACAGGTGGGATGGAGGACACTGAGGACAGGTGGGACTGAGGACATTGGGGACAGGTGGGACAGAGGGGACACTGGGAACAGGTAGGATTGAGGACATTGGGGACAGGTGGGATTGAGGACATTGAGGGCATTGTGGACAGGTGGCACAGGTGACACCAGTGCGACAGGTGGGATGGAGGACATTGAGGACATTAAGGACAGGTGGCACAGGTGACACCAGTGGGACAGGTGGGATGGAGGACACTGAGGACACAGGACAGGTGACACTGGTGGGACAGGGGGGACACTGGGGACACTGAGGACAGGTGGCACAGGTGACACCAGTGCGACAGGTGGGACTGAGGACACAGGACAGGTGACACCGGTGGGACATGGGGGACACTGAGGACACTGAGGACAGCTGTCCCCGCCGTCCCCGCCGTCCCCTCAGGTGGACACGGCGAGTCCCCGGCACGGTGGCGAGCTGGTGGCCGAGGTCCTGCGCGCCCACGGCGTTCGTTTCCTGTTCACCCTGCCCGGGGGCCACATCTCGCCCGTGCTGGTGGCCTGCGAGAAGATCGGCATCCGCGTGGTGGACACGCGCCACGAGGCCACCGCCGTCTTCGCCGCCGACGCCGTGTCACGGCTCTCGGGTCAGCCCCGGGGACGCCGCGGGGCTGGGCGGCTGGGATTGGTGTCACCCTTTGTTCTGGTTGTCACCCTTTGTTCTGGTTGTCACCCTTTGTTCGGATTGTCACCGTTTGTCCTTGTTTGTCACCATTTGCTCTGGTTGTCAGTGTTTGTCCTCGTTTGTCACCGTTTGTCTTTGTTTGTCACCGTTTGTCCCGATTGTCACCGTTTGTTCTGATTGTCACCGTTTGTCCTTGTTTGTCACCGTTTGTCCTTGTTTGTCCTTGTTTGTCACCATTTATTCTGATTGTCATTGTTTGTTCTGACTGTCACCGTTTGTCCTCGTTTGTTCTTGTTTGTCACCGTTTGTTCTGATTGTCATTGTTTGTCCTCATTTGTCACCGTTTGTTCTTGTTTGTCACCGTTTATCCTTGTTTGTCACTGTTTGTGTTAATTGTCACCGTTTGTCCTTGTTTGTCTTTGTCACCTTTTTTTGCCCATTTGTCTTCTTTTGTCCTTGTTTGTCACCGTTTGTCCCAATTGTCACCGTTTGTTCTTGTTTGTCCCCTTTTGTCCCCATTTTACGCCTTGTCCCCATATGTCCCTGCTTTTGTCCCCTCCTGGATCAAATCCATCCTTGGAGCCACCTTGGTGCCACCTTGGAGCCATTTTGGAGCCACCGTGGCGCCATCTTGGAGCCACCTTGGTCCCACCTTGGCGCCATCTTGGTCCCACCTTGGAGCCATTTTGAGGCCACCTTGGTGCCATTTTGGAGTCATCTTGGCACCACCTTGACGCCATCTTGGTGCCACCTTGGAGCCATCTTGGCACCACCATGACGCCATCTTGGTGCCACCTTGGTGCCATTTTGGTGCCACCTTGGCACCATCTTGGTCCACCTTGGTGCCATTTTGGTGCCACCTTGGCACCATCTTGGTCCACCTTGGTGCCATTTTGGTGCCACCTTGGTGCCATTTTGGTGCCACCTTGGCGCCATCTTGGTCCCACCTTGGAGCCATTTTGAGGCCACCTTGGTGCCATTTTGGAGCCATCTTGGCACCACCTTGGTGCCATTTTGGTGCCATCTTGGAGCCACCTTGGTCCCACCTTGGCACCATCTTGGTCCCACCTTGGAGCCATTTTGGTGCCACCTTGGTGCCATTTTGGAGCCATCTTGGCACCACCATGACGCCATCTTGGTCCCACCTTGGTGCCATTTTGGTGCCACCTTGGTGCCATCTTGGTGCCACCATGACACCATCTTGGTGCCACCTTGGTGCCATTTTGGTGCCACCGTGGCGCCATCTTGGAGCCATCTTGGTCCCACCTTGGTGCCATTTTGGTGCCACCATGGCGCCATCTTGGCGCCATTTTGGTGCCACCTTGGAGCCATTTTGGTGCCCCCTCGGTGCCCCCTCGGTGCCCCGTTCTCACGGTGTCCCCTCTGTCCCCCCAGGCCGCATTGGCGTGGCCGCCGTCACGGCGGGCCCCGGTGTCACCAACGCGGTGACGGCCGTCAAGAACGCCCAGATGGCCGAGTCCCCCCTGCTGCTCCTGGGCGGCGCCGCCGCCACCCTGCAAAAGGTGAGAACACCCCNCACTGGGGGGACACTGGGGATAAAAAGGGACACTGGGGACGTTGGGGACATTGGGAACAGTGAGGGGACATTGGGGACACTGGGAGAAGATTGGGGACGTTGGGGACATCGGGGATGAGGAGCTGGGGGACACCGGGAACAAGAGAGGACACTGGGGACGGGGGGACACTGGGGACATTGGGGACAGGTGGGATGGGGGACAAGAGGGACAGGTGGCACTGGTGGGACAGGTGGGACTTGGAGGACATTGGGGACAGGTGACACCGGTGGGACAGGGGCACATGGGGACAGGTGGGATTGAAGACACTGAGGACAGGTGGCACAGGTGACACCGGTGGGACAGGTGGGACTGAGGACATTGAGGACACTGAGGACAGGTGACACTGGTGGGACAGGGGGGACACTGAGGACAGGTGGGATGGAGGACCCTGAGGACAGGTGGCACAGGTGACACCAGTGGGACAGGTGGGATGGAGGACATTGAGGACACTGAGGACAGGTGACACTGGTGGGACAGGGGGGACACTGGGGACAGGTGGGATGGAGGACACTGAGGACACTGAGGACAGGTGACACTGGTGGGACAGGGGGGACACTGAGGACAGGTGGGATGGAGGACACTGAGGACAGGTGGTACAGGTGACACCAGTGGGACAGGTGGGACTGAGGACACAGGACAGGTGACACTGGTGGGACATGGAGGACACTGAGGACACTGAGGACAGGTGACACTGGTGGGACAGGGGGGACACTGAGGACACTGAGGACAGGTGACACTGGTGGGACACTGAGGACACTGAGGACACAGGACAGGTGACACTGGTGGGACAGGGGGGACACTGAGGACACTGAGGACAGGTGACACTGGTGGGACATGGGGACATTGAGGACAGGTGACACTGGTGGGACATGGAGGACACTGAGGACAGGTGACACCGGTGGGACAGGGGGGACACTGGGGACAGGTGACACCGGTGGGACATGGAGGACACTGAGGACAGGTGACACTGGTGGGACAGGGGGGACACTGAGGACAGGTGACACCGGTGGGACATGGAGGACACTGAGGACAGCTGTCCCCGCTGTCCCCGCTGTCCCCGCCGTCCCCGCCGTCCCCTCAGGTGGACACGGCGAGTCCCCGGCACGGTGGCGAGCTGGTGGCCGAGGTCCTGCGCGCCCACGGCGTTCGTTTCCTGTTCACCCTGCCCGGGGGCCACATCTCGCCCGTGCTGGTGGCCTGCGAGAAGATCGGCATCCGCGTGGTGGACACGCGCCACGAGGCCACCGCCGTCTTCGCCGCCGACGCCGTGTCACGGCTCTCGGGTCAGCCCCGGGGACGCCGCGGGGCTGGGCGGCTGGGATTGGTGTCACCCTTTGTTCTGGTTGTCACCCTTTGTTCTGGTTGTCACCCTTTGTTCGGATTGTCACCGTTTGTCCTTGTTTGTCACCATTTGCTCTGGTTGTCAGTGTTTGTCCTCGTTTGTCACCGTTTGTCTTTGTTTGTCACCGTTTGTCCCGATTGTCANTTTGTTCTGGTTGTCACCCTTTGTTCTGATTGTCACCCTTTGTTCTGATTGTCCTTGTTTGTCACCCTTTGTTCAGATTGTCACCCTTTGTTCTGGTTGTCACCCTTTGTTCTGGTTGTCACCTTTTGTTCTGGTTGTCACCCTTTGTTCTGGTTGTCATTGTTTGTTCTGAGTGTCACCCTTTGTTCTGAGTGTCACCTTTTGTTCTGGTTGTCCTTGTTTGTCACCGTTTGTTCTGAGTGTCATTGTTTGTCCTTGTTTGTCACCCTTTGTTCTGGTTGTCACTGTGCTAATTGTCACCGTTTGTCCTTGTTTGTCATTGTTTGTCCCTGTTTGTCACCGTTTGTCCTAATGTCACTGTTTGCTCTAATTGTCACCGTTTGTCCTCATTTGTCACCGTTTCTTCTGATTGTCATTGTTTGTTCTGATTGTCACCGTTTGTCCTCGTTTGTCACTTTTTGTCACCATTTTTCCTTGTCATAGTTTGTTCTTGTTTGTCACAATTTGTTCTGATTGTCACTGTTTGTTGTAATTGTCACCATTTGTCCTTGTTTGTCATTGTTTGTCCTTGTTTGTCACCATTTGTCCTTGTTTGTCATTGTTTGTCACCCTTTGTCCCAATTGTCACCATTTGTCATTCTTTGTCCTTGTTTGTCACCCTTTGTCCCAATTGTCACCATTTGTCCTTGTTTGTCACCCTTTGTCCCAATTGTCCTTCTTTGTCTCTCATTTTTCCCCCATTTGTCCCCTTTTGTCCCCTCCTGGATCAAATCCATCCTTGGTGCCACTTTGGCTCCATCTTGGTCCCACCTTGGTGCCACCTTGGAGCCATCTTGGAGCCATCTTGGTGCCATTTTGGTGTCACCTTGACACCATCTTGGTCCCACCTTGGCGCCATTTTGAGGCCACCTTGGAGCCATCTTGGTCCACCTTGGAGCCATCTTGGTCCCACCTTGGGGCCATCTTGGTCCACCTTGGAGCCATCTTGGTCCACCTTGGGGCCATCTTGGTCCACCTTGGAGCCATCTTGGTCCCACCTTGGTGCCATTTTGAGGCCACCTTGACGCCATCTTGGTCCACCTTGGTGCCATTTTGAGGCCACCTT